AAAATGAGGACCTAATGTCGGGGGTTTAAATGGAGAGAAAATGTTTTGAGAAACGATGTACAAATGCGCTTTACACAACTGATGTGTGTATGGATTGGGATAACAGTTGTATGAGCCCCTAATAAAATGTTAAAAAAGAAAAAAAAAACAACAACAAAAAAAGAAAGATGGAAGGAATATGCAGTCACCATACAAAACAAATGATCTACTCAGCCACTTCAAGAGGCAGCATTTGATAAAAACCAAACCAAAACTATGGTATTGAAGGAAAAGTCCAAATTCCACTGAAATCATTAATGAAAAACAAGACTCCAGGAATGGGCAGAATGAATACCAATTGAAATGCTTCACACAAACGGATATAGCACTACAAGCACTCATTAGTCTATGCCAACAAATTTGAGAGGTTGCTAGCCAACCCACTGAATGGAAGAAATTCTGATTTATGGCCACTCTGAAGAGGGTGACCCAACAGAAGCAGAAATTATGAAACACTATCATCTGTCACATTTAAATAGTATTTTGCTTCAGAGCATTAAAAAACGGTCAGCAGTACCCTGACAAGGAGCAGCCAGAAACGTAAGCTGGATTCTCTAGAGGACATGGAATGAGTTCCCACTGCCGACATCATTTGGATCCTGGCAGGTCACTAGAAAAATGTTTACTTATGCTTTATTGACTATGCAAAGACATTCAACTGTGTGGACCACAGGAAACTATGGATAACATTGTGAACAATGTGGAATTCCAGAACACTTCCATTTTGCTCATGTAGCACCTGTACCGAGAGCAAGAGGCATTTGTTTGAATAGAAAGGGATATTTTATGGCTTAAAATCAGGGAAGGTGAGTGTCAAGGATGTAGTCTTTCAACACCCTTATTAAGTAAGTATGCTGAGCAACTACTCTGAGAAGCCAGACTACATGCAGAGAACAGAGGACTGGAGGAAGGCTCAGTTCCAACCTTCAATATGGAACTGACTTACAACCTTGACAGAGGAACATGAAGAGGGCTTGACACATTTACTGAAGTTTTTGAGTATCTGCATTTTCATTTGGATCAAGTCAAAAAATCAAACTACATATTGCATTGGGCAAATCTGCTGTGCAAACCTCTTTAAGGAGCAAAGATGCACATGACCCGAGCCATGTAAAAACTGGACAATGACTAAAGAAGACCACAGAACTAAGGCATCTGAATTATGGTGTTGGTGAAGATTATAAAAAATATGAAGAACTTCCAAAAACAAACCAAGCTCACTGTCATCTCGTCAATGCTGACTCATACAGCAAACACTGTGTAACTGTTTATGGGAGCAGAAAGACCAGTCTTCCTCCTGTGGAGCTGCTGTTGGTTTCAAACTGCCAACCAACGGGATCATAGCATGACACGTGAACACTAAACCACCAAGGCCCCTCTAAGAACTTCCAAAACAACGGACAAACCTGTCTTGGCAGAAGGCCATGAGTGCCCCAGAAGTGACTTTGCCTCAAATACTTTGGAGATGTTTTCAGGAGAGCAGTCCAGCAAAAAGGAGACTCAATGAGCTGACACAGTGCCTCCAACAATAGGTTCAAATATACCAAGAGTCCAAAGGGTAGTGAACGACCCAGCAGTGTTTTGTTCTGTTGAGATGTAATCAGTTAATATGGCCCTGCTAGCTATTACTCCTTATGTAATGGACTACACTTCTGGACTCCATGCCTATAACTATAATCCTATTTTGGAGGGTGTTCTCTAGAGGTTGTGATTTTGTTTCTCTGGGGGTATGGTCTACTAAAAAGTAAAAACCACACCTCCATTAAAGCCATTCCTCTCTATACATGATCCATCTGTGACAGAAAAATTACCCCAGATCAGAAGAGTACATTTGAGATCTCTGCCTGTGGTGATAGGGACTGAGATCAAAGGCACCAGAGACTGTGGCATGGAGACTAAAAGGGCCAGCACCGAGACTATAGGGTACCTTCTCCTCATCTGACCCAAAGACTACAGGACTGAGGCAGAGTGACAGGCAGGCTTCCTGGTCGAGGGAGGTATAGGCCAAAGGATCACGTGGCTGAGAGGCTAAGGACCAGAAAGAGACCTGGTTGCTGGCTGAGGCCTGTTGCTGGGTTGTGTGGCCACTGTAATAAATGATGTAAACCAACATAGAAGTACAGTGTGCTATGAGAGGACTGGTTGCTGCCAGAAAAAGGTACAGAAGGATGGAACTTGAAGGCACGTCTCACCCCTGCCTTGTGGTATGTGGGAAGCCAGAAGTTCGACATGGCATCCCATGCTATTTATTTACTGCAAATACAGCACATTAATTAAAAACAAAACAAATTCACTGCCACCACGTTGATTCCAACTCAAAGAAAACTTGTAGGACAGGGGAGAACTGCCCCTGTAACTTTTTACTGAAGTAGAAATCCCCGATTAAAGAACATTAAATCATTGAAGACTTCTATGAGGATGTAGTGGCAAATGCAATGATGAAAATCAAAAGTAAATAACTGCAATTCCCAAGCAGTCAATATTAGCAACACAATATTTATTGGTGCACCATCACTGTAGCAAACCCTCAGAAAAGATAACCTATAAACTCTATTAGGCTTCCTTTTTCCTCTCCACTTTAGCAAAATTCAACCCTTCATTTTCCATTCAGGAGAGTCAATTCTGTCAACTATCAATAGACAGACTTTTAAATTCCAACTTGGTTTCTCTGTTTACTCAAGGTACTTTTTATTCATTTCATTCTAGATAAAATATATTCAGGATATTAAAAGATCAAAAGCCGCAATATGTAATATAACCCAATACATACCCATTGCTTCTAGCTTTTATACAAATTCAAAAATATTAACATTTAAGTCTGACTGCAAAGAAAAAGTTTTCCTATACTTGAGAGGTACTACTTTAAGGAATAATGAATTTCTGTTAAGGGTGGCTTAAAAACTTGGAAGTTGATAGAGGTGATAGTTTTATACCATGTCACTGAATTGTACACAAAAACATGTCTGAAATGGCAAACGGCAAATGGCTATCCAATTTTCATCACAGAAAAATTAGGAAGTTTTGAACTTACCTATTAAAAAGCAAAACAGTGAGGTGAAGAATAACATCATTACCACTGGACACCGGAGGCTTCATTGTCTGAATATACCTGAGGGCTTGTCTATGTTCGCCCTGAGCCATGAAGGCCTGAATCATCTTTGAATGCTGCCATGCCACAGGTTTTGCAGTAGCCGGGTGAAACAGAAGATCCAAAGCACTCTGCAAACATAGCATGGAAAGTGCTAGATATCTCTGTGCATCTGTATTCTGCATTTCGAAAAAAGTAGCTAAGCTTTCAACAGTGCAGGCCCTACACAATGGGTAGTTCAAAACTATGATAAAACCAGCTTAAATATAAACCAAAAAGACCTACGTTAATCTATGGTATATTTAAAAAAATATAGTCTCCACTGTGTGATTTCAGTTATCTATTATATAAAATAATCCTATGTATCAATGCAAACATATCTTTAATATAACAATGACTATACTCTCACTATTAATAATTGTTTGTTTTCTTCTTCAGACAGTTAGAAATCTGCTTTCTAAAATGTTTTATCTTTGTAGTTTTATTTATTGCCCAACACAGTGTTTGGTGAATGGTACTGGCTAAACTAAGTCCTTCTTACATTACATCACATCTGTAATAACAAATCTAGCCCAATTATGTTTTTTTCTCTTAAAATCTTAATTTACAAAAGCTCACATTTTAAATCAACCAACAGACTCACCTCATAGTCATTATGATCCAGCAGCCAAAAACCTTGAATAAGTTTAACCTGGCCCCAAGAAATGGCAAAAGCAGTTGGAAAAGATTCAATTGGAGTATCCGTTTTGTTTGGAAAAGAATACATAATATCAAGCAGCAAGTAAATGGTCTTTATTTTTTTTAAGAAAGAAAAGAGGATTAAGGAAAACAAACAGAAATTCCCTACATGTTTAAGAAGATCATCTTGAACACCCAGCAACACTATAATTTGGATGCAGAAAACCCACAGCTGATTCCATTCTTTCTAAAAACATCACCACAAGAGATGCTCAAGCATGCTTTTCAATGAAGTCACCAGCGTAGCAAAATGAAAAAAGAAACAGCTATAGACAGACTTCTAGCTATTTAGCTAATTTGGCACCTCAAGCAAGCACATCGTACACCTTACAAATTACAAATGGGATTTTAAAACTGGCATAAGCTAAAGAATGTTACTTCAAAGACCAGGGACCTGAAACATCATGCCAAAGTTAATTATTAATCCATAATATATTCTTACTCAGCACATAAATTAGCCCTATTGAGCATTAACACTTGCCAGCATAATTTCAGAGCTGTTATTTTTTAACTTTTTGTGTTTTGCACACATTTGCTAATCTGATGAAAACCACACCTGATCCCTAGAAAAATACAGAGTTTCCATACAGAATCAGGTCATCTAGACCATCTGGACCCAACCAGCGGATTCTGGATTAAGAATCATCAAAAGAAATTCAAACATAAAATTACAATAAGTTAAAATGATGGATCATTTCATTATAATTCTGAAAACCTATGATTTTTGTAATTCATGGAACTACGTGATGTTTTAAAGGATACAACAGAATGCTTGATTGCTTCAGCAACATTGTCAAGTAGGTACATGTCAAGCAGTGCCTATAAAAAACAAGGGATAAAAGTATCAGTGAACTTTATAGATTTATACATTCATATTCCCATTTTCTTCAAATCTGTGTCTCCCCCGACTCCGATTTTGCAGTCTCGGTAGATTTAAGTCTGATCCCTACTGCAAACCTACATGAAGACTAGTAGGAGGATATTTTCCTGTGCCTCCTTCATCTCGTTTCCACAACTTCTCAACTCGTTCTCCTAACTGGGAAACCATCCCATCAATCATCAAGCAATCAGGGTTCCACTTCCCTCTGCAATAAGGAAAATATTAGGATTACTAGAAAAGATAATTATTATTGTCAAAATAATAAGCATTAAAATCTTAAAAATAATGATCCCAATTATCAGGGAGAGGAAAATGGTGAACTGGACTCCATTTAGCATCACAAGAATTCCACGTTTTTCAGTATATGAAACCGAGGACTGATTAATCTATAGGGAAAGTAGGTAGAATAAGGGTTGCAGGTGTGTGTGTGCATGTGTAGGGTACAGTGGTAGTGGCGGGGAGGGTGGGGGTGGTTGGGGTAAACGGGAACTGATGTCAAGGAGCCCAAGATGGAAAAGAATGTTGGGAAACTGTGGTAGCAATTATACAATACTGCTTGAGTGTCTGAACTATGGAATAAAATATTTATCAGCTCCCAATTTTTAAAAAAGTGCTATTTTGGCTTGTTGATTTCAAAGGCGCCAACTAGGTTAATATTTATGTATTTCAGAAGAAAATCGTAACAAAATAAAGAAAACTCAACAAGAGCTCTGTGAACAAAGGTTGAAAGGTACCTGTTATGGAAAGAATGTAAAAGATAATGATAAATGGTAGCTTCTAGTCTTTTTCTGAACAAGAATTATTGGGGGGGGGGGATAGAATTAAATTATAGAGCCTCAAATAATGAGTCACTCCTATAACAAATTCCGATATTTTACCAAAAATTCCACCCATTCAAATGTTTTGCAAGTCTAAAAATTGGTTTATCTGAGAAAGTTTGACCCCCAGAAGTAATTTCTAAATTGTTTTGTCAAGGTTCTGGATGTACGATACCTTGATAAACGCTCACACTTCTGTCGGCGGCTGGTGTAGTAGTTCTGAATTACAGGGTAGTTGTAGCATAGCCTTGACAACTGCACAGCATCATCTACAGTTTTTTAAGAGTTAGGGAAAACACAGTAATGTTTTCAAAATACGCCAACAATAACAAAGGGTATGTACATTGACATTTTACTGGACGTTTATAATGTTAAGTAATTCACAGGCTTGCTGAATTTAATTAACATAAAAAATCCCAAATCACTACTTATCTTTATTTACCTATGTACAAATGAGAAAATAAATTTCTCATGAAGTTTGTAACCAACAAGGATGCTTGCTCAACACCTTAGAAAGGCTGACAAAATAATTTTATACTCATCTGTACAAATGAAAATTTTGAAAGAAATTTTCAGTTTATTCAAGTCAGAATCTAAAAAATTATTTAAAATATAATTAACAGCAATTATATGTAGTGATGTAAGCAACTTATAAAATATAATATGCTCCATGCTGTAAGACGTTGGAAGCGCTAAATTCTGATTCAGTCTAAGTCTCTCATTGAAATAAACAAACATGTAAAAGTCAAATTCTCTTATTGTTGCTATCAGCAGAAATTGTTAGAAAAAAGGGTATGTTTTAATTGATGGCTAATATTAGTTAATAGCCACATTAAAAGAGGCTTTGAGGAGAAAGAAACCGGCAAGTTAAATAATTTAACAATCAAATCTCTAAGTATTTTATAGATGGTGATATTGTTAAATAGATGTTCAGTAGTTGTGTTTTTTCAAATAATCTTTTCTTTTACTTGTTATTTAATGCAACAAATATGTATGGAATATCTTCTGTGTAATAGGCATGCTCTGGAATACTGAAGATACAAAGCAAGGAAGATTGTAAGAAAAGAAGGTACAACGAGAAGGAAATATAAGCAGTGAAAGAAGAAAAATGTGACAATATAGAGAATATAAAAAAAGTTTTAGAATGTTATTAAAAGATGAAGTCAATATTTTACCTAAGCCTTCTGGTAAAAGTCCAGAATGCGAGAACCAAATAACCATTTGTGCATACTGACAGATGAGCTGGGAAACCAGATGCTTATTTCTTAAATCCATCAGACCTGTAAAAGAGAGTTGAATACCAGTTCCTTAGGTTTGAGTAAGTCAGGCAGAAATGAAAAACCAAATTGCCAACAGTTTTCAAATTATATGACTTGTTCATTAAAATTTTTGTTGTTAATTGCCATCACCTCAGTTCCCACACAGAGTCTATGCACAACAGGACACACTGCCAAGTCTTACGCCATCCTCACAATTGTTCTTGTGTGTGAGTCAATTATTGCAGTTACAGTGTCAATTAATCTGTTGAGGCACCTTCTTCTTTTTTGTTGCCTCTCTACTTTACCAAGCATGAGCCCTTTTTTCATATACTGCTCTCTCCTCACATGTCCAAAGTATGTGAAATGAAGTCTCGCCATCCTTGCCTCTAACTAGCATTCTAGCTGTATTTCTTCCAACACAGATGTGTTTGTGCTTGTAGCAGTCCATGGTATTTCCTTTCAATAGTCTGCCAGCACCACAAAGGCATCCATTCTTCTTTGGTCTTCCTTTATTTAATGTCCAATTTTCACATGCATACGAAGCTATTGAAAAACCCATGCTTTGTGTCAAGTGCACCTTAGTGCATGTCCTTTCCTTCTACCACTTAAAGAAGCCTTGGGCAATAGATTTACCCAAACCAGATCTGACCTCTTGAAAGCTGCTTCCACAAGCATTTATTGTGGATTCAACCAAGAAAAAAAATCCTTGATAACTTCAATCTTTTCTCCATTTACCATGATGTAACCTCCTGGTCCAATTGTGAGAACATAACTTTTCTTTGTGTTGTAATCCATTTGGAAGGGTACAATCTCGGATCTTCATCAGTAAGTGCTTCAAGGGCTCCTCACTTTCCGCAAGCAAAGTTGTGCCACCTGCCCACTGCAGGCTGTTAATGAGCCTTCCTCCACTCCTGATGCCAGATTCTTCATATAAATCCGTTTTTGGTTATTTGTTCATTATACTAATTGAGTAAATATGGAATGAAGATATAACCCTGACACAACACACATTTCCTGATTTTAAACTATGCCATTATTCTGTTCATACAACTGCGTCTTAGTCCAGGTACAAGTTCTGTAGGACCACATTGAAGAATTCTGGAATCCCCACTCTACTCAAAGCTATCCATAATTTGTTATGATTCATAGAGTTGAATGCTTTTGTAGTCAATAAAACACAAGTAAACATCTTTCTGGTACTCTTTCTTTCAGGCATGATTCATCTGATGTTACCATATGATGTCCCGTGTTCAACGTCCTCTTCTGAATCCAGCCTTAACCTGACAGTTTCCTGTAACTTTACATTTATTTATTTTTGTAAACTATTCTAAGCTTAGGAGTCCTGCTGGTACAGCGGATTGGGTGTTGGGCAGTTAATTGCAGAGTCAGCAGGTCAAAACCACCAGTCACTCCTAGGGAGAAAGAAAAGCTTTCTACTCCTGTAAAGAGTTACAGTCTCAGATACCCACAAGGGCAGTGCTATTGTCCTATAAAATCACTGAGTCAGAACTGACTCGATGGCAGTAAGTCTGCCTTTGATTATAAGCTTCCATCTATTTTAGTTTGATCTATAATAGCAAGTAAATATATGCAAAAGGTTAGAAAAAATTAGTCTGGTTAAAGTAGAGTAAATAACTTAGCTACCCTTACATTAGCACCTGACAAGTAACGATCTAATAAGAATAAGGCACAAGACTTTAAACTTTCCATAAGTAAAAGATAAGACACACAGGTATATAAAAATATGAGCATACCTCTCTCAGTGACCTCTTGTGCCTCTGTGGTAAAACAGCTTAAGACTGTATTAAGGTTGCTAAGAAGCAAATGACATTGCTGGATAGATTGTAAGGTTTGTGTATCGATGAAGCGACATGAACCATCAAACAATGGAGTACCTTTCAAAGGTAAAAGATAAGATTAGTTTCCATAGAGTAAAACTGAATGAATTAAAACAACAAATGTAAAATTTCTCAAATTCCTACCACTCATACATTTTCTATAAACTATTAAGATTTATAGAGGAAATGGCAAATACCTTCAAGGATGTCTGAAGAGAGGGTTCAAGTTTAGTATATAAAATGCGGTGAAGTGATATCAAGTAGAAAGCAAATGTTTTGAGAATGATGATGGCAACAAATGTACAAATGTGCTCGACACAATGGATGGACGGATGGATTGTGATAAGAGTTGTATGAGCCCCCAATAAAATGATTTTTATAAGAAAAAAAAATTGGCCATGAAACAAACATAAAGAATGACCCTACTGGAACCGTTACAAGGATCTGCATATGCCCCTCCCTGGGAGATGGACAACAGCAAAGTGGGAGAGGGAGGCAGAGGACAGCCTAAGACATGACAAAATAAAATAATTTCTAAATTATCAAGGGGTTATGAGGGAGGAGGGGTAAACCGAGGAGCTGTTACCAAGGGCTCAAGAGAAAAGAAAATGTTTTGAGAATGATGATGGCAACAAATGTACAAATGTGCTTGACACAATGTATGTATGTATGGATTGTGGTAAGAGTTGTACAAGCCCCCAATAAAATGACTTAAAAAGAAAAAAAATACTGTATTAAAATGTTCAAATAAAAATTAAAAATGAATAAATAAAATACAGTGAAATAAACAATGAGAAATAAAGGTAAATTGGATTCCATTTAAGTCTTTAGTTAAGCTATATTCATAAAATGTTCGCCCTTCAAATAAGTTTATGTTTTGAAGTCTATGATACATATTTTACAATAAGACCTATTCATTCACTTCAGGGTTTTAGGAGGGAGCCATTAAAATTAAAATACATATAGAGACTTTACCACAATAAAGTTGCAAATTTCTACACTGCTGCTTTTCTTCTGTTTTAAACTCAAGGCTGAGTTTGACAATTTCACTTTGGGGAAGAAAGAGGAGTGGTTCTATTTATAAAAAAAAATCATGTAAAAATCTCTACCATCAGGGACATTTTAATGAGAAAACCTCCTATTTAAATAGCATTTCATATAAGTTTTTGATTGGTCCATTTATTTTAAAATGTTTAGCTATAGTTCTAACAGTAGGGAAAGTTGTTGGGTAATGATAATCTTTGAAAAAGTTCTTCAGGAGGCTTTTCTTTGTCTTAAGGTTGTAAAACAGGATAAATTAAATTGGGTCAAAAAAACAGTAGTAAGTATTGAGCATTTATCATTTATAAGGAGTATTTTACATAGATTTTACATACATCTAATTTATTGCTTTATGATACCGGTCCTACCATTATTCCGTTTTATAGATGAACATATTAAGGGAAACTCAGGGGTTTACTTTCAATATAAAGTGAACATAAATCAGAAAGATGATGTAAACTCAAATATTCTAGATCTAAAGCCTATCTACATAATCAGTACACATAAAAAATTAAGGAATTTATTTTTAATGACTAATTTCAGTATTTTAATATTTATGTAATTTTTCCAGAAAACAATTTCTTAATTCTAAATACCTTCCTCCAATCAAATTCCGATTTGCTTTACTTACAGAATAAGTAGTCAGTGGGTTATGAACATATAAGCATACCTTTTAGTCAAATTCATAGGCAAGTCAGAACTAGTGCATATAGTTATTTAGCCTTACCTCAGTGCATGAATGCACTTGAAACCATTTCAATGAATTAAAAGCTGCAGGTGCAGCAAATGAAGGGAATTCTGATGAAGAATTTTTTTAAAATATGGGTTAATTCAATTGTTTAAAATGAGGTTAAATTTATGTAACATTAAATGACAAGTGAAAGTTGCCTACATCTATGATGCTCACCTTCCCAACACAACTGCTGAAGACAAAGCGGGTGAATAAGTAAATGTGGTGAAGAAAGCTGATGGTGCCCGGCTATCAAACAAAAGATATAGCGTCTGGGGTCTTAAAAGCTTGAAGGTAAAC